GAGATGGGGTAGGGAGGACGGACTGCTTGTAGCAGAGGTGCAGCAATGCTTTCGGAGGACGTGGTCCATGCTTGTTCTGGCCTCTTGCTGGTGCTTGCTCTGCTCTCTTGTACCTTGTTGTACCTCGTGCTCCCTGGGTTAGGGACATACCTTGTACTGTCAATGTTTGGAGTTGCTTCTGGCAGATGGTGTGGAAAAACTAGTATTGAAGGCTGCCTCTTGCGCCTGATGTGACCCTGTCTGAACGAGCTGTTTGACACTTGGACAATCTCAAGTGATAAAGACCAATGTGTGTGGTGCGGAAATAACGGCTGGTAATTTTAGACACAGGCTAACGTCCTGTGTTGGTGTCAAATTAAAGAATGGGCCACGTGGACTTTGCTTTGGGCTTTGGCTGATCCCAGCACTTGTCGGAGCTGCTTTCCTAGGTTCAGTTTCTGAAGCGCTCCTTTCATAGCGTTACTCTGGGGAGGACGGGGTCACAAAAACTGCAGGCGCTCTCGGATGCTTTGGTGTGCGTGGGAAAAACAGATCCATTTTCTTTCCTAGCCCTGGGCAACGTGTCCATCCCCCCGTGCAATGCGCTTGTTGGCGGAGGGGGGGCCCTGCTCCCCGCCGAGCTGCCCTGACTGCCAAACCCCATCAAGGAGCAGTGCTGATGGGGGTGGGGGGGTCTGTTGCTATGACAACAGATTGTTTTTCTTTTTATAGAATTTAATTTTTTTTTTATTTCCATTTAGGAAAACTGAAACAATTAGGGTAGAGAAAGAATATAAACTTTCCTCTATTTTTTCCAAGAGAAAGCCCAGGCGCAATGCAAAGGCGGGTAGCACAGATGCAGGTGCATGTAAGAGGCAGTCGGCTGGTGACTCCTTGAGCTTGCATCCCCAACCCCAATTATTTATGTATCTTCCCTTGGTACAACCGTATGCCTTGTAAAACAAAACTGGACGTGCAATCTGACCCAAATTATTCACCTGGCTTTCTCTCAGTGCATTTTCAAGTCTGACTAAAAGAGGACACAGACCTGAACTCATAGAGAGGGCTGAGGTTTGCTACTTGCAAACCTAGCTTGCTTTTCAGCTGACGGGATTATCTAGATTTTTTTTTTTTTTTAATGGGAATGTCAAAAAGCTGAGTCAGCCATACCCCAGCTACAAAGATCCGAAAACTTCTTCCTCCTTAAAGATTGCTTACCCCTACTCTATGCAGTCAGATGAAGATGAGTTGTTTGTTCTGGCAGAGGGACAGACAGTCTGTTTTCCCCTATATGTATACAACTAATTTCAAGTCACTAGTGTTCTAGCTGGTGATAAAAGAGCTATCTTAAGCTTTTCGCAGAACACAGTGACACTGTTAAATCAGCACAGCATTTTGATTAGCAGAAAGATGAGAGCTATGCAGTTTAATGATAAAAAGGGGCAAAATCCCTTCTGTACTTAAAACTCCAGTTTCAAAGCAAATAGGTGGCCGTATTTTTCTGTAAGTTACAGATTTTCACCTTATTGCTGATTCAAGGCTATTCAGGGTCAGCAATAGCCTGCACTATTTGAGTAAAGAAGAAAAATTGCTTTCATGCCTTATTGCTCATCTGGTCAGACCTTTTCCAGGCAGCTGTGGGGTCACAGCTCGTGGGCCTGGGGGCTTGAAGGATGCACAGGCTCTGATTCCCCTTCCTTCAGGAGCTTTGAGGCTCGCCCTTGGGTACATGTTCCCTTTCTAGCACTCTTGTCCCAGAAAGCAGGGGCCAGTGGTTTGGCTGCTCTGTCTTTAGAGATAGTATGGGCCTCCCAGGTTCTTCTGTGGCTTGCACATCCCCTTGCACGTACAGGTCCCTTATCTCATCCTTCCCTAAGGCAGCAGTCATGTTGCCAGGAAGGTTGGGTTCTCCTTGGCTTTCTCCAAGAGCATTTTCTCAGTTTTGTGACAGAAATGAGCCCAGGGCCCTTTTCTGAAATTTCCATTTTGGTTACTAAGTGATCTTCAGATCAGCTGTGACCATGTGCCCTTTGGCAGGGTACTTTCTGTAGCTGCTATTGGGGGTTGATCCTAAGCCTAAATGCCTTTTAATGCCTAAAACTTCCTGCTAACTTCCAGACTGAATTTATGTATAATGCATTTATGGCCATTTGTTCAAGGGCCAAGATGGCCCTTCAACTGAAATAGGTTTTCTCCCTTCTGAGGTTTAAATCTTTACAGTGTTTGTCAAGAGCAGTCTCCTAACATCAGAGATACCAATAGAGGAGAAATACATTTACTAGCTGATGGTCACAGCACTTTGGAATTCATCGTTTGCAGGTGCTGTGACCCCGCAGTGGTGTTTCTGGGGTGGCTTTACGACGCCAGATGGCCTCAGGCTGGACTCTGGGTGGTGGCATCCAGCTGACAGAACTCGGGCGTGATGTGGATATGCCCATATCAGACTCCTCACATTAATTTAGGCGTCCTCGCATTTAGGCTGCATCACAGGCTTATTCTCCTGATCCTGGGCTGAACTAGTGAAAATTATACACCGAGGAACTTGAGCAGCTTAAATTACAGTTGACCCCGCCCTAACCTATGGCTCGCTCTGAACCAAAGGATTTGGTCTGGTACCTCCTTGGAGACAGAATCTCAGGGGATCCCAGCCTGATGGGTAGGCTGAGTTCAACGTGATTCTGCACGCTGCTTGTGCCAAGCAGTAATGGTCACCACCAGCCGCTCCTGTTCTCATGCCCATGCAGTGTTCGGGGTCTATTTAATGGACCATGCAATAACTTAAAAATCGCATGAAGGGGTGGGAAGGCACGGGGTACTTAAGAGCAGAAAGAGAAATACAGTGACCTTGTTCTGCAAAAAGCAAGCAGAAATGGATGACAGCTTATGCTAGCAAACCCCAAGTTTGCATTTCCAGAGCCTGCAGCTGAACGTCTGTATGGCGTGGTCTGTCTGTCACGAGCAGAGCCCATTCCGCACCATTAGTGGGGTTCGACTGCGACCAGTGACTCCAGTGAGATGACAGAAGTAGCGCTAAGCTTAGTTTAACACAATCTGCAGAAGCAGCTCTGCACAGTTGCTATAACACTCTGTTAAACTAGGCTAAACTCTGAATACTGCTATAGTCACTGCTTTTGGAACCACTCTGGATTCAGTCTGTCAGAATGTTCCTCTCCTTTACAAAATACATAATCTCATTTAAAATCATCTAGTTTCCTGAAAGCTACTCAACGTGGGGAAAAAGGCTGACACAGTTCCCTCTTGCCTGCTGATGTAGTAAACTTACTGATTGCTTATCTGCGGTAACACCAACCACGACTTTTTTATTTATTTTTGAAATCATATTTATGAACACCTTCTTGGTTCATACTGTCTTCTCAAATATGGGCATTTATATGTATTGCTGCTTAGGCAAGAGCAGTTTCTGAAAGGGATTTTTTTTTTAACTTTTATTATTGTTGTTATGTTTTTAAAATCTTCAGTGTGATTTCTTCAAGTGGAAAACCCTCTTCCCTGCCCCCAGCATCCCAAACGCTTCCCCTTGTACCACTTCACCTACTTGGATCCTAGTGAATTTGGGGGTTTGGAAGTATCCTGGAGAGGGTTCCCCACCTGGCACAAAGCAACATAATCTAACACAGCTCTAAAATCTGGCTGATCAGTGGACCTCAGCTGTTGAGGATTCAGTAAATAATTATTCCTCTCTGAATCAACAAGCCCAACAAGATTTTTAGGAAGAAGAAACTGTTATCAGTGAGCTATAAAAGGAGGTCTGGGATCTATCACAGCACTTCAGTGTTTTTCAACAAAATGTTTCCCTTTCTTAGTTTGAAACAGCTTTGTTTGAAAAATGAGCTGTGTTTTCAAAAAAACCCTAACCAAAAGGGGTGGGTGGCTTTACGGTCAAGTGCAATATTCCAGGTTTATCTGAAATCACGTGTCTAAATAAATTTGGAAAAACTGTTTCTTTGTCTTGGGGAACCAATTTCTTCTCCTTGCCCTGCCGCGTGAAAGCTGGCAGAGGTTACTTTGACGTGATCTCAATGTCTGTCCTGCCCAAGGAAAAACGCTGGAGTTTTTGGCCCAAGTCTAGCACAGAAAAGTGAAGTTCATCTTCCCAAATCCTCTCTGCAACTCTGCTTGGATAAAGGCGTCTGCTACTCCCTCTATGAACTGTTTTGCTGGTATTTTAATAGCTTCAGAGCTCTACCACCAGCATCCATCTTAACTGATGAGCAAAGTGACCCTTGCAGTCCCACGCCTAGTTCGCACTGACTCTTCTGCCATTAGTCAGCTAATGATTTGCGAAATACCTTGTGATATACCTTGTGGTCTTCAGCTGAGCAGTCCTCTGTAAGGGTCTACCCTTAGTAGTAGCGACGATACGTAGCCAGTCACTATTGCCGTTCCCCATGCGCCTCTTTCATTTAAGCGTGTTAAAAACTTCTGCTGCATGCCGGAACTTTTAGGTTTTGGCAGCGTTATTACAAGCGCGCACGCAGAGCTTCCTCCTGCAGATTTTTCATCCTGCCAGCAGTTCCCATTCACACCAGCAAGCTCCTCAGCTGCACGCAGGCTAAATTTTGCAGCATACCACAGTGTACTCAGAGATCTTTTTTTTTTTTTTTTTTTTAAAATTTTTTTTTTTTTTTTTTCCCCCCATCCACTCAGAGCTTCTACCCAGGGTTATGGGGAAACCAGGGAGTGGAAGATGCTTGTGTGCATGTAGCTTTTGTGCCAGTGCAGCCCTGTGCCCTGAGCAGGGCTCACCCCTGTGCCTGAGCTCGAGTAAGTCCTCCTATGTGCATTAGCCTAACGGCACCAAGGGACATAATTGGGATTATTCACGCTACACCAACTGGGAGGATTGGAGCTCTGCTGCATGCGAGATCACATACACGAAGCTAACACAAAGCTCCCACTGATTTTGGAAAAGCCTGGATATAACATGATATCCTTACTACTGAGAGCTGGAATGGAAAAGATATAGAGAAACCATTAGCAATCCATGAGCGGCGGAGTACCTTGCAGCTTCCGAGTATCTCTCTAAACACCTGAACACAGCAGCTTGGCGCAGGTGGTTCCGGAAATAGGCTGGGTTCAGAATAATGCTCCTTTAAAAGATAAGAGGTGGACAAGTTTAGATTTCCACTTCTTAAATCACCAAAAGCTACTAATAATGAAACTGTGACTATGATGCATACTCTATACACATTCTATACAATTCAGCACTGTATGTCTCAAATGTTATACAAACCATTGCTTTCTCTTGACAGCTGTGACGTGAACTAGCATTATTAAAATGTTTACTGTGGTTATATCATAAATGTAGTTTCATTAGGGTTTTGTGTATTGTTCTAGAAAAAAGTTCCTGTGGTAATACGCTATCTTGCCTTTAGCTTGCAGATAACATAAGCAAAACTGCTACAGTACAACTTCTTGTCAAGCCCTGCCTCCACAAACACAAGCAGTAGTTCTCTGACCTGTCTACCTGGGAAAACTGCACCTCTAGAATGTATTTGGATGTTGGCTTGGAAGATTTTTAAAATACTTTCTGTACAAGTGATAAGTTCTATGTGGGTGGACCTTGGCGTATTTCCTAGACCCTTAACTTTAACAGATGCAATTCCAGGTGTAACAAATTACAGGCTTTAAGTCAATATCAGAAAAAGATGGAAGGATAAAAATAGCATAAACTAGGCAGTTGGGCTGGAAGGCTGAGTATCCTTCTGATGTGAGCCGCGGGAGGGCAGGATTGACAGCTCCTTCTCTGGCTAATTAGTTCCACTTGTGAGATCTCCAATGAGTGGTCAGCACTTCTCCCAGGGTTTGGAGAAAAGCTTCATAAGGCGTGTTCTGGGATGCAAAGTTTTATAAAACACGAATGTAATGACAAATCTTAAGTATTTAATGGTAATTTATCACATCAACCAAGAGATTAACACTACATTCTACTACATAGGAAACTTGCAAACTGGCTTTTTTTGATAGCTTTTTGATAGTTTTGGATATCATGCTAGCATTGAATACGATTGCTTTTGTGATTTCAGCCTACTAATAGCCACAGAACTAATCCTCTTCATAACCAAATAATTTATTAAAGTTTATTCATTGTCTTGAACCTAACATAAATACATATGTAAACACATTCAGCTATGTGTTCACATTTATGGAAACACCCGCTGCATTAAGACCAATAACTGTCTTTTGTCTATATTTTCAGCACTCATGAACTGGGGCTTTCAGAAGGCACTTTCAGAATAAGATAAAACCTGAAAGTGTCCCCAGGATGCTGTAGACTTTTGAATCAAATTCACACTGCAGGCCCTTTCTCCATGGCATACAGAAGGAGGCCTAAAGCTCTGAATGGTTCCATCTACATTTGCAAGCAACGAGATGTATCCAATGAGTGGATCAGTAGATCAGAGAAGCTAATGTTGTGGCTCCTACATCTATATTGTAGGCAGCTGGGGCTTTTATTTCAGACTAGACTTAGTCTGTTCCCTTAAACACGTACATGTCCCCGTGCATGTTGTTGAAAGCTGTCTTGAAGGTCTGCTGTTGGTTTGGATTCCCGTGTCTTCATTAGATGCTACTTATATTTTGCTCACAGTTCACGTGGAACATGTAGGCAGCTTTCTCTGAAACAAATCTGGTTTGTGAGTGCCAAAATTGGTCTGTGAACCCTCTAATGTGCAGAAAATGGAGGAAATTGGGTAAAGCGCATCGCAATCCTATTACTGTGCCAAACCACAATGGTAAGTTGGGTTGAACCAGAGACGTTTCTGTTCTCCTGGCACAGTAAAGCTTGACTCTCTGTGAGCAGAGGTGCTCTGCGCTCTGGAGATGCAGCTCTACTGAAGACCATCCTTGGGGGTCTAGGAACTAGGAACCATCTCAGAACTATGCTTTCCCAGCACTTTAAAAAAACGCGCAGTATTGAGACAAAGCATTATCCCGCAGGAACTCTCCCTCTGGGAAGAAGGTGTGGGGGGAAAACCAGTGACAAATGATATCGCGTAACACAAGGCATTACTGGAGGAAGTGCAGGCCTTGGTGACTGGAGGCACGTCTAAATATTGAACTAAAATCCAGTCTACAAAACGGCACTGGATGTTAAAATTTAGTTGCTCTCAATGGGGGGGAAAGAATCGCTCTTATCACTGCAAAAAGGTAATGCCAACAGCAAACGCTGCGATTCTCAGCCAAACCTGGTTCAGATCCGAAGTTTAGACAATACTGATGGTCACCAAAACTTAATTTAACCAAAACAAAATCATCAAAAGATCAAATACTATCAGTATTTAATGTTTCGATCAAAACAGTAATACCTTACATAGATGACAACTGGTACTTCTGCAAGCTATTTTAAAGGAGATTATTGCTGCTGTAAACTGTAGTCAACAGTTGATAATAGTGATATTGATTTTTTTTCTTTTTTTTTTCCCTTCTCCCAGTTATCGGTTCTACCACAGCCGAGCAATAGCACTATGAGGGGAAAAAAAATTTAAAAATCAATAATTCCCTGGTAGTTAGCAACATATTTTCTGTAAGTCTTTGAGCAGGATGTGCTGTGATAGGCTTATAATAAATATAGAACTGTAGCAGACTTTCAAAGAATTAGATATCAGCTCTCCATTTTCCATCTTGATTTTTTTTTTCTTTTTTACTAGTCTCAAAAAGATCAACTGCAGCTCTTGATCTATAAATTCTATACTGAAAAATATTATAGTATGCCCTGGTAGCTTGAGCAAACATCAGAAAGCTACCTTTGACTCCTGGCAGTCTGGTTTGGTGTTGCTAGGCTCTCTGTGGCCGATAACTAGAAATAATTTCTGCTGTGTTACTACTCTACCCAAAAGTAGCGCTTGGCTGTACTGATGCAGCTACAGATTCGTAGCCTTTATGCAGAGCAGCACTAATTTAATGCCAGGTGTGCACTAAAATGGTGCAGAGTTTGGCTTTTAAATCTGACCCTGATGTGTTTCAGGTGACCGGTGAGGAAAAAAAAAAAATCGGAAGCAAAGGAATTGTACAAAGGTGAAGAGGAAAACCCTAATTTCAGGAAGTTCTCCTTCAAATAAGAGCAGATGGGAGACCCATCTGGCCAGGCAGAAATGTGCCAGGCTGTGCATACTGAGAACAAGTCTGTGCTCCAAGATCCACCTCCAGCCATGAGCAGTCTTGATACTAGGCTGGTTAATCCAGTAATTAATTAGAAGGGATGTGTTTCAAGAGGGAGGCTTGAAAGAAGAATTAGGAAGGGAGGAAGGTGGTGGACACGCTGGCTGCAACACAGTCAGGACAATCTCTGTATGTGGTGGTTTGTGCCACGAGCAGAAGCATTGGTCCTTTGGCCTCTTTACTCGCACGCTTCTCATGGGAGCTTCCCGTAGAAAAAGTCGCTTCGATAGGAAACGTCTGGAAATGGATAGCTCTTATTTTGCACAGAGAAAACTTCTGATCCGCAAACTGCAAATAAAGTCACTACATCTGAAGATTAAAACTTGTGTTCTTGCCAGGTTTTGCCCCCATCTGTCAAATGACTAGGCTAAAGTAAACTTGAAATAGATTTTCATTTATTTTTCATCTTCACTGTAATCCAAAGACTGCCCTGTTAAAAGCCTTTCGTAAATCATTTGGTCAGTTTTTCTCAACAAACCAGTCCTTAAGTAATGCCGTATATCAGCCTCTTTTTTGACATTTTCATTTTTTGATCTTGACATCATCTCTTAAAAAATAATACAGTGTTTGTCCTATTATCTTTTTTTTTTAACTGTGAGGAGGGGGGAAGAAGGCATCAACTCTCTCCCCATCATAGCGATTGAAGGATGCGAATCAGATGCACGTGTTAGTCTGTGGTTTTCTTTCCAAGTTTTTCCTTTCGATCTTACTGCCTGGTGTTAAGAAAACAGGCGTGGCAAGAAATTTGGATTGCCGCATCAAAACTGGCTGCTAGAAATCACATTGCCTTTTCTCTAAGGTGCACCTTCTCTGTTGAATTCCTTCCCAGGTGCAATGGGGATTTAACTCTAATCAGACTGACGTGAAAAAGCGCTTCTGCTACTACCCACCCCATCCTTCGTGTTTGGCCTTTATAGGCCAAGAAAAAGTCAATGAGATGATTCTATAGATGAAACAAATACAAAAATACACTTTACCAGTAAAGCAGATAGATAAACTCATTGTTCTTGCTAGTACTGAGAGTAAAAGTTCATAAGTAGTATGAGAAGTAAAACCTTAGTAGAGGTGCATGAAGTTATTTCTTTAATTAAGATGGCAGAAGATTTTTCTTTTTCTTAGTTGTCCATGCCTTCCTGTGATAAAGTGTGGTCTTCTGTACAAATGCGTTCTAATAGTCAATTATAATTAATTGACTGTTAAAGAGGAATGAAGTGATTTATTGGAAGTAAAAATTTGGTGCTAAAGCAATACGTGCCCCTGGGCAGAGAGATGTAAAGGTAGCACGGGTCGGTACGGCAGCGTCCGTGTGTCACTGGTATGGAGTGACTGTACAAATGTGGTCACTGGGGCGTTCTTCACCACAACGTTAAATACCAAATCAGCGCGAGTAATGTGCTAAGTACTATTCAGTAGAACCACATCTTTGGTTGCTGTGGACTAACACACTGCTTTTATCTTGGGTGGCTGCTGTCAATCAGTACAGGTGGTGATGCAGCCCCAATATGCTTACAGATGAACCTGACAATCCCATACAATTACACTGAACCTCAACTTTCTTCTTTTTCCTTGTTTCATCTATATGACAGGTAGCTTATTATCTGCAGTATAGTACTAGTCCTACATCTCTCTGAGCCTGCCATGCTCCGTTCTGTGATCCCAAGGGTTGGTGTAAGAGTTCAGCTCTACAGCAGGCAGTCAAATTCCTGAACCCTCTGGTAGCCAGGAATCTACCTCCTCATATTTTCCTGCAATTTGCATGTGCAGCTGTGATATGGTTTTATTTAAGCTTTATTTAGGGACCTCATGGTGGTACGTTTGCTTGCAAGCCAACTTTGTATTCTAAACCACTTCTCCTCCCGGTGCTGTTGTAGGGAACTAGGAGGGATGTGTCTTGGGTACACAAAAGCTTGCGGGCTTTCTTGCCCTAGTG